GGACACTTCTCTCTGTTCACTTTTTAAAAAAATATATATTTTATTGATTTTTTACAGAGAGGAAGGGAGAGGAATAGAGAGTTGGAAACATCAATGAGAAACATCGATCAGCTGCCTCCTGCACACCTCCCACTGGGGATGTGCCCGCAACCAAGGTACATGCCCTTGACTGGAATCGAACCTGGGACCCTTCAGTCTGCAGGCCGACGCTCTATCCACTGAGCCAAACCGGTTAGGGCTGTTCACTTCTTTTGGTAGTTTGGCCCCTCCATTGCTCTAAATTTTAAGGGTAAACAAGCTGTACCAGGCATATCTTAATGCTTGTCACAACTCCCCTCCAGAACCAACCAATGTCTTCCACAGCCAGTATCCTTAACTCTAGCACCACCTTGTGGTTTGCCAGCACAAACTCACCCTGGCCCCTTCTGGAGGACCAAGGTTGGCTGCTCCCATCTTTGAGCCCTTGCTAAGTGCCCAGCATTGTATTATGCATTTCACATGCCTTATTACATTTAATCCTTACCATAATCTAATTGTTACAGTTAGGAAAATTGCTTCTCAGAGAGTAATTTGCCAAATCTCACTGGCAGAGCTAGATATCAGGTATCTTGCTCACTGTAACACTATCTTGATAGCTTTACATCTGAAAAGGCTCTTTAAATTCACAAGCTTCCTTACAGTAAGAAAACAGGGGTAGAAAGGGACTTACCTGAAACCACAAGCACAGCTAATGGCAGAGACAGAACCAGAGCTGTTAGTCCAAAGAGCCGACTTGGCCCTGGACTCTCAATTGAGCCTCAGTCTGAGCCTGCCAAGCAATTTCAGACTATACCCATAACGGAGTTCCCAGACAGGGTTTAGAGGTGATTATTGGAGAACCCTGGAGGTAAACTGATTTCACATGTATCTCTATTTCCTGTTGTTCACCCATGTCCTCATCAACTCTGGCACCCAATGCTTCCGTACTCTCTGGCTGGTCAAACAACAATCCCTTCAGGGTGGGACTTGGCAGGTGGGGGAGTCCCAACAGGCGCTCACTCAAAAATTGCCAACAAAGGAGAAGCTGGCACAAGGTTTAAAATTCCACCTTGGCGCCTAGCCCTGAATCCACTGTGCCTGTCTGGGAGCACCATGGCATGAGAATGGAGCCAGAGAACAAAAGATGGCAAGTGCTGCAGGCCCAGACAGGCGAGCACAACAGCCCACATATCCGGCACCACTGTGCTGCCTTCCAACTTCTGACTTCAAACAGCACCTAGGGATGCATGAGGAAAGGCATGCGTAGGCACATCTGCCCTTCCCAGAGGGTGACTGGGTTTCATCAAAGTTATCGCCTAGATCAGATTAGAAAAAGGGCCAAAGTATGCTGAAAAAACAAACACAAAGTGACAGAAAAAGTGCTATTATGGGTCAATTTCATTAAAACATTGTTTTCTGGAGAAAGCAAATCATGCACCACTCTGGCTCTAGGCTTCCTAAAGTACCACAGAGGAGCTCCAGCACCTAACTTTGGGGAAAACTAAACAAACCCTTTCTTGCTGCTGACCTGGGCCAGCCTCATAAAACTTTTTACTTTACAACAGTGTTACCTATGCAAGATCGAGTGGAAGGTTAGTTTCTGTTCTTCCATCTGGACCATTCTATTGACTCAAAGGAAACCAGATATAAAGAAAATCAATTTTGAAATTAGGCCTGGGATAAAATGACTTTGCTACTAAAGAGCTATTACTTAACCTCTTTTGACCTATAAAATGGGGTACATCATCTAGTTCCATGGAATGTTGGGTTACATGGGACAACAGTTAAAATGCCTTAAGAAGGGGGACAGGTTTACTTTGGTGTGCATGTGGAATCGAAGATACAAATCAGTTTGGCCCCAGCAACTTGAACCTCCTTCCTCTGGTAACTGAGATCATGACCTCAGACATCCTTTGCATATATCTTCCCATAGGCAAATGCAGTGAAGACAACTAAAATCTTAGGCTGAAAGTTATCAGCCATGACTAAATTGACACATACCTTGGAGAGCTCACTCAATCTCCACATTCAGATCTTTCTAGGAACAATCCTAAAGAATCTCAAGCACACAAAATATATTCTTAAATATGGTTTAATACTCTTCTCCATTTCTGTACATCACGACACCAAGATTTTGCTGCTTAGGATCTCTCTGTAGAGACTATAGAGAATGCAAAGGCTACGGTTTTTACCCCCTCATATTGATGTGTTTGTATGTTAAGTGTAATACATATCAGTATATATTGATACACACATCAATATATAATGCAATATATATCACCGAAGAGAACACATTGATTAAAGAAATACAAAAATTTGGCATCATTTCCAAACTTAAATAGTAAAAATAAAAACTACAAAAGGAGCTGCATACCCTAAATGTATCATGTGAAACAATAAGCATAGTCAAAAATGTAAATTTACATCCAATTTCTCTGGTCTTGTCATATCACATTAGACCCATTTACAATGGCAAAACCCTAAGGTACTGCTGCGAAGAGGGCATGTTTGCTCGCTCTTGGGTGTTCTGCAAACAAATAGCAGAGCCCAAAGCAAAAGCCTGTTCCAGTGAAGCCTCCCGCATTGGTGAATACCAAAGAACTGACTCTTCTCATTGGGGGTTGAGACATCAGGTTACACATCGACAGACAGTCATTTGGACCTCAGAGTACAGTGTGAGAACCAGAAACTTTACATTTAAGACATACTCCCTTCATTCAAGTGAAACAGGATTATTGGAACGATAGGCAGGTCTGCAACCTAGGAACAAGGAGCTGGTTCAGACCAATAAAGCTACGAGTGACTGAGTCAAGTTAATGAAGAACAGCAGTCAGGCACTAAAGTGTTGAAAGTACCCAATTTGAAAACCAAATGCACCCCACTACCCTATCAGTGTGAGGTGATACCAATTGACTTTTAAAACCTTTGGCCCTTCAAAGTCCATTTGGTATACTTTTTTCCATTGCTACCACTGGGCACATCCTATACACTTTGTTCACTGTCACCACCTCGGGCACATGATGACCTTGCATGTCAGCTGGGGTCAAGTCCAACTCACAGCCCAGCTGTGAAGCATGAGCTTCAGGTTTTCAAGCCCATTTGTGGACCCAACATGGTTATGTCCTGGTGCCAGAAGCTGTGTCCCATCCCTTCCCGCCCTTCCCACCCCCCCTCTCATGTTTTCTCCTATGAGAGGTACTTGCAAGTCCCATATTCGAAACAGATGCTCCCACCCCACCAGGAGGTCAGGGGTTAAAATTACATGCAGTCACACATGTCTTATCTGTTGTTCCTATGAAGAACCTTGCAGTTCATCTTTAAAAAATCAAAATATTCACATAATCTCATGCCATCCAATGCAAGGAAAACACGACCACCTCCCCTTTACCAAGGACAGACCCAAACAAAATAAAATAATCTTTAAATTTCTTTGCTTCCACTTAAATTGCATGTTTTATTTTTCCCACTCCCAGCAATAGCACAGAGGCCCCAACATGTGCATCCCAAACTGGTTTCTAGGCTAAGATTATGGGAACCCTTGTCAAAGCAACGGATGCTAAGGGCTCCCAAAACCCCGGCACAAATTTGCCTGCAAAACACATGGAAGGAAACAGTGCACTGGCCCAAATGCTTCATGTGTCAGCTTGACTTGACAATGCAATTTGCATCCTTGAAACTAACAGTCTGGAGGGGGGACGGGTAGTGTGAGGGAGTGAAATTGCCTATTAGCTCACCCTTTCAACATTAAACAAGAGACCGAGAGAGAAATGATTCCAACATTTCACCACATATATTTCTTCTTATGCAGTCTAAGCTGAGAATGCCATGTAAATGGGTCACTGCGAAATGCAGCAATTTAATTTTTTCCAATCAAAATAAGAAACAAATCAGTATGATCTCATGTCTATTAACTTTTGAAGGTTTACAGCAGTTAAAGTATTTTTGCTTCTATGTATGAAGGTTAAAAAAATCATTTTTTTTTTCATAAAATACAAGAGCAACCAATTTCACCATCGAGTAAAAGTAAAAACTGGGATTCTTGTTTAAATTAGTCCAAAGTGGCATTTAGGAACTTAGTTGTAGGCTGCTGCTGCGCTGACACCATGACAAACCAAAGTGTAGGGTTGGATCTGGTTTTGTTTCCGCTTTCTTTTCAGTATCCAATGCTCATGGATTAAGTTCTGGAAATGTTCCAATTGTAAGGCAGGGATCTGTTTGGATTCCACCACGGGTATGCTCCTTGGGTTGGATGCTGGAGGGTGAGGCACATTTTGCCGGACCCATGTCGACTACCTAGTAGTCATCAAGGTCAAAAAATTCGTCGTCTCCTCCTTGGTATTCCATTCCCTGGAAATCTACTCGGTACCGCAAGATACCTGGGGACACAAACCAAAGAGTAAATCACCAGTCTTCAACAGAATGAGGAAGGCCCAATTCCCTTGCAGAATTAAAGAAAGCTACTAGTAAAAGGTAATGATTAAAAAAATGCTTCCAACCACGGAACAGGCAGCCACGCGCTGCCTCTCCCTCCTCCTTCAGTGGATGATGAGATGAGCACACCTCACCTGAAGTAACATTATTTTGGAAAGGCCTTGGGCCTGGCTTTAAGTTTAGGTTTCTAATTGGCTACTTACCTCCAATTCCACCAAATCCTTTCACAAATTGGGATCCTTCTTGTGACTTATCTGTGACAATTTCCAATGTAGCTCCAAATTTTTTGTAGTTATTAGCAAACCATTCCAGCAAGGGCATGCTCTCAATTAGTTCATGTTCTTGTCCTGTCTTCAGGGGCGACCATGAGATACAGAAACAATGGGATTAGAATATAGCAAGACTTAGCAATTCTTGTTCCCCTGCCCCCCATCATTCTCCCTCTCATTATGTATATGTGTGTAAAACTCTCTTAAGTGAATTCTGATTTCTAGTGACATAATTGTAACAACACAGAAATTCTGATTATTTCAAATAATGTTCTTCCCCAGGCTCTAGCATCAACAATGAAATGTCAAAACACACTTAGCACCGCTTCAACTTATGGATCCTTCTGTTGTCTCTAGAAGTCAGGCTGTTGTAAAGGGTCTCTAGGCATTCAAATGGCCCAGAAGAGACACACAGAATTGTTTTTGGGAGCAGCCTGATCAAAATAAAGTCTTACATCTCAGAAATGGAGGAACCTACCACCTGCTGTGCTGGGCAGGTGGCACCTTAAGCTCTACTGATGCTTTTACACCAAACCTGCAGAAGCCATTTCAGCAAAACAGCTAATACAGTAAGTAAAAAAGCAGCACAGATTTCATGGGGCAGGAGAGGCACTATTAAATTAATTCTACCTCTGCCTGGCCAGTGTGGCTGTGTTTTGAGCGTCCACCTATGAACCCGGAGGTCATGGGTTCGATTCCCGGTCAGGGGACATGCCTGGGTTGTGGGCCCATCATTGATGTTTCTATCTCTCTCTCCCTTCCTTTCTGAAATAAAAATATATTTTTTTAAAAAAAGATATCGCCCGACTGGCGTGGCTCAGTGGTTGAGCATCAACCTATGAGCCAGGAGGTCACGGTTCGATTCCCGGTTAGGGCACATGCCTGGGCTGCGAGCTCGATCCCCAGTGTGGAGCATGCAGGAGGCAGCTGATTGAGGATTCTCTCTCATCATTGATGTTTCTATCTCTCTCTTCCTTTCCCTTCCTATCTGGAACCAATAAAAATATATTTTAAAAAAAAAGATATCTTCGAACCAAGATGGCGGCATAGGTAAACGCCTATACTTGCTGCCTCCCACAACCACATCAAAACTACAACTAAAAGACAAAACGGGTATCATCCAGAACCATGGGAAGGCTGGCTGAGTGGAAGTCCGACAACTAGAGGGAAAGAGAAAAGCGCATCTAGACTGGTAGGAGGTGCAGAGGTGTGGAAGAGTGGAGGTACAGAGGTGCGCAAAATGGGCTGGCAACTGGGTACACTGTGGTCTTTTTCAATCGGGAGGGAGATACAAACTCCTGACTACTCTAAAATCCAGTTCCGGGCGAGATTCTAGGGACCCAGACTCATACGGGGAGAAACTGGACTGTCTGGCATTGGGCCAGAACACGAGGGAGGCTTTCTCTCAGAGGTGCTTGCAGCGTTCATTGTTCCTCCACGGGCCGAGGGACACAGAGACCCAGGGACCTATCGGGGCAGGGCTGACGAGCAGCCATTGCAGTTTGTACCGCCCTGTGATTCCCTGAGACCACGCCCCACCCAATTTACAACCCCACCCAAGCTGTGTGCAGAGGCTTTTGCATATAAATGGCCTGGCCTTCTGCAACCTAACCTAATAAACTGCAGCTGGGTCAAAAAAAAAACCCCAGAGCTTCCAAAAGAAGGCCTAAGGCACGTCAGCAGCCTGCACTGCTTCACAGCTGCGCCTCATCTGGACACCTCCATACCCCAAACAAAGAGGAGGAATCTGCAGATCTCTCTGTAGCTCCTGCTGGGTGGCCTCAGGCAGTGGCTGACTTTGCACCTCCCTGGAGATCCAAGAGTCAGTGCACCCAATGGTCTGAGTGAGACCATCCAGATTACAACTCTTCAGATCCATAAGAGACACACTCAGGGGGCAGACTCAGCACCAAAGCCCCACTGAAGCAAGTCCTGCCCCATAAGGGTGTTTCCAGCACAGAAGTTCTCCCATTGTAGACACAACTGGTCCTCACAGCCAACTGATCTGGAGGTCAACTCCTCCCAGTGATATCAACAGCAATCAAAGCTTAACTATAAGAAGACTGTGCACACAGCCCACCTCAGGTGACTGGGGAGTCTGAGCCACTGGACCCTATAGCACACCTAGCACACAAAACCACTCTATCAACACAGGGAAGCAGCCAAAATGTGGAGACAAAAAAACATGTCACAAACAAAAGAAATGGAGGAAAGCAAACTACTGGATATAGAGTTCAAAACCACGGTTATAAGGTTACTCAAGAATCTTGTAGAAACCTCCAAGGAATTTAGTGAGACCCTCAAAGATATGAAAAAGGACCAATTAGAAATTAAGCATACACTGACTGAAATAAAGAATAATATACAGAGATCCAACAGCAGACTAGAGGATCCCAAAAATCAAGTCAAAGATTTGAAATACGAAGAAGCAAAAAACACCCAACCAGAAAAGCAAAAAGCAAAAAGAATCCGAAAATATGAAGATAGTGTAAGGAGACTCTGGGACAACTTCAAGCGTACCAACATCTGAATTATGAGGGTGCCAGAAGAAGAGAGAGAGCAAGATATTGAAAATCTATTTGAAGAAATAATGACAGAAAACTTCCCCTACCTGGTGAAAGAAATAGACTTACAAGTCCAGGAAGCACAGAGAACCCCAAACAAGAGGAATCCAAAGAGGACCACACCAAGACACATCATAATTAAAATGCCAAGGGCAAAGGACAAAGAGAGAATCTTAAAAGCAACAAGAGAAAAACAGTTAGTTACCTACAAGGGCGTACCATACGATTGTCAGCTGATTTCTCAACAGAAACTATGCAGGCCAGAAAGGAGTGGCAAGAAATATTCAAAGTGATGAATAGCAAGAACCTACAACCAAGATTACTCTACCCAGCAAAGCTATCATTTAAAATTGAAGGTCGGATAAAGAGCTTCACAGATAAGAACAAGCTAAAGGAGTTCATCACCACCAAACCAGTATTATATGAAATGCTGAAGGGTATTCTTTAAGAAGAGGAAGAAGAAGAAAAAGGTAAAGATAAAAATTATGCACAACAAAGTGACAACAAATACATATCTATCAACAAGTGAATCTAAAAATCAAGTGAATAAAAAATATAATGAACAGAATAAACTGGTGAATATAATAGAATCAGGGGCATAGAAAGGGAGTGGACTGACAATTCTTGGAGGAAGGGGGTGTGGGAAGAGACTGGACAAAAATCAAACACCTATGGATGAGGACAAGGGGGGGGGGGGGGTTTAAGGGCCTGGGGTGGGGTGGGAACTGGGTGGAGGGGAACTATGGGGAGAAAAAAGAGGAACAACTGTAATAATCTGAACAACAAAGATTTATTTAAAAAAATCTTCCTTTTCACTATTTTGAGGATGAGAATATTTAACTACTTTAAAAATAACTACAGTAACCACGACTTGGCCTCCTTCTTTGGAATCAGGTTGGTATGTGGCGGATAGTAGCTGACCACCTCCTGTCACCCCCAACTGACAAACAGGAGGTTTGGTTTCCCAGATGGATACTGTACACTGCCAGTGCTCTAACATATGGATTTGTCTTTCCTTGCATGTATTACCAAGAAAACAATCACATACCTCTTTGTCTGTGAAATGAGATTTATCCTTCTCTTGTTCTGGAGTTAGATAGAGAATTTTCTCCTCTGCAGTAATGGGGGGGGAAAAATGTGTTAACTTGGTTCTCACATGCTAACAAGTATAAGCCCCATGAGATGAGTTAGGTTAGATAAAAGGGCTTCTGAACTTATCCTACCAACTTTTCCCCCCATATGATTATTAGTCAGCAAGCATTGAGTATCTACTGGGTACATTGCTCCTATCATGAGGAACCACCAAAGACATCAAGATACAGTCCTGTTCTCCAAAAATTTAACAATCTTAAGTAGACATTTAGCAGTTCAAGCAGAAACTATGCAGGAATATGCTACAGAATGAAAGAGATGGGAAGAAGGTATAGATCTGCCTTCTGATTGGTCCTGCAATCTGTCATCTCTCCTAAATCTACCCCCCGACCCCCCCGGATTCCTTCATACACAGGTCAGTAACAAACAGCAATCTGATTTTCTAATTCTCATACCTTCTGTGCCTTGGCAATGAAGGACGTATCTCATTATATCCAGATTTTCGTAGACTATTAGAATTTCTACAGCTCCCATTTCTAAAGCTTTTAGTGTATCTTCAACTCCAAAACAGTACTTGCCCGTGTCCTGGCTGATTTCATCAAAGTATCGTCCTGTAAGTAGGGACAAGTCAATAAGGACATATATTAAAGTTTCCTTTGTAGATATAGACCCTCTTACACTCAAAATCAAGAGAGAGAGATATATTAAAAAACCAACTTAAAAATGAGTAAGTGCTTGCCCTAGCCAGTTTGGCTCAATGGATAGAGCGTTGGCCTGGGGATTGAAAGGTCCTGGGTTTGATTCTGGTCAGGGGCACATGCCCAGGTTGTGGGCTCGATCCCCAGTAGGGGGCGTGAAGGAGGTGGCCTATCAATGATTCCCTCTCATCATTGATGTTTCAATCTCTCTCTCCTTCTCCCTTCCTCACTGAAATCAATAAAAATATATTAAAAAAAAAAAAAAAGAGCCCTAGCCAGCGTGGCTCAGTGGATCAAGCGTAGGCCTACAGACTGAAGGATCGCAGGTTCGATTCTGGTCAAGGGCATGTACCTTGGTTGCGGGCACATCCCCAGTAGGGGGTGTGCAGGAGGCAGCTGATCGATGTTTCTCTCTCATTGATGTTTCTAACTCCCTCTATCTCTCTCCCGTCCTTTCTGTAAAAACTCAATAAATATATTTTTTAAAAAATGAGTAAGTGCTCAAAACCAGTGAAGAAAATACCACTAGTTGAGGCTCCAAAAATTGACTCTGAAGAGGCAATAGCTGAGCAAACAATGGCCACACTAATCTTTAATTCAGGCTTTCTATTCATCACTCTATTACAAAGGATAATTAATATGGGAAATAAGACTGAAGTTTGGGCCTGGCCGGTGTGGTTGATCATTGACCTATGAACTAGGAGGATAGGGCACATGGCCGGGGGTTGCAGGCTTGACCCTCAGGTAGCGGGCATGCAGGAGGTAGCTGATCATTGATTCTCTCTCACCTCTGATCTTTCTATTTTTCTCTCCCTCACCCTCCCACTCAGGGAAACACACACACACATATAAATATATTATATACTAGAGCAGTAGTTCTCAACCTTCCTAATGCTGCGACCCTTTAATACAGTTCCTCATGTTGTGGTGATCCCCAACCATAAAATTATTTTCGTTGCTACTTCATAACTGTAATTTTGCTACTGTTATGAATCGTAATGTTAAGTATCTGATATGCAGGATGTATTTTCATTGTTACAAATTGAACATAATTAAAGCATAATCGATTAATCACAAAAACAATATGTAATTATATATGTGTTTTCTGATGGTCTTAGGTGACCCCTGTGAAAGGGTTGTTTGACCCCCAAAGGGGTCGCGACCCACAGGTTGAGAACCGCTGTACACCGGTGGGGTCCCTCAGCCTGGCCTGTGCCCTCTTGCAATCCGGGACCCCTCAGGGGAGGGGATTGGGCTGAAACCAGCAATCTGTAGTCCGCCA